ATATACATTGTTTTGGGTAAAATCTATTGGAACGTCATTGCGTACGCGTATTTCTCCTGTTCCCAAAGAAGCGTTTTTCAAGTCGACCTCAAATGGGAATTGATGCTCATCCTTCGTGATCAGATGAAATCCACATATTTCCCTGGACTGGCTTAAAGCTGGGTTTGCGAAGGCTCGTAGTTTTGGAGATAGTTTTACGGATGACTCATGTTTCATTAATTGTCCAATGTAGATATTGCCTACATCTTTCGGTAAATCGAACTCAACAGCAGGTCTAAAGCCAAAGCCTTTGTTTTTAAGTACCCTGTAAAACCAAAATACCTTGGTAGAGGAGGAGGCTTAGTAGAACCGTAACGCGCATTAAGTCCATTCAACGCTGCGAAATAGACTCCCGCAAATAAAAGCGTGCGTATCCCAAAACGACCTTATAGTAAAATTTGTAGAGCATCACAACGCACTAAAACAATGCATTTAACTTTTATCTCATATTAAGATACAAATGCAACAAACGTGTTTTACTGACTTGTAGGCGCTTCCCATGTTATATGAGTTGTAATTATAACACTTAAATGAAGTGGGCTTTAAAATAAATTTTTCAGATAGGCACAGCTATGACAGTTTAGGTCTGTCTATGACCATAAAGTAATACATGGACGGAGCCCACATTCAGCAAATTTATTAGCATTAATTCGCCTGATCAAATCAGCACGACAACTTAACTGAACCTGACAATAATAGATTTTATACAGTAAGTACAAACCTAGGCCAAAACGTCCAAAAAATAGAATTTTCCATCTATACTTTAGTACCAAATTCACATATTCAAACAGGCCCAGTAACCTTGATCTAGGCACTCCAGCTCAATTTAAAGACTTTTTCGGATTCACTGTTGCTTTTCTCCGACACCCTTGTAACGGATAGAGGGCGAAGATAACATGAACATGAATTATGAAATGTGGTTCAGTTGCCCTTATAGGGCAGAGGCAGCTGGTCATTTCGAACACGAACGTGAAGATCCCTCCGCGGAGTAATGTCTGTTCGACGTCTTACTCATCCTCTCTTATAAAGCTAAGGGTTTAGATGCCTGAGGATAGGCTTCGAGGTTCTGCAACCATAGCTCCTCTCTAGTATTATTAGCTCATTTGCGAAGCTATTCTAGATCAGTTCCGATCCGCTCAAAAATCAGTCGATGTAGGATCCGCAGGCACGGGCTGAAAGTTATGGTTTTCAGACAGCGTACTACAAATTGACGCTATCGAACGCACTGTTTTTAGTGGACTAGGCCCCAAAACCCTTTTCACCCCATCAATACTATTTTGAGTAACAAATTTTTAAATATCCTTGAACGTTTCGACCAATTATTAACGCATTTATCAGAATGATTAAAAAGCCACCTGTTGAAGCTTTAAGGTTCAGCCAGAGTCCTTTATTTACCATGATTCCTTAACAAGTAATGCACACACAATAATTTTACTATCCTCTCAAGTAGTCACACCATAAAAGGAAGTAAAGATGGTCCAGAGGCCTCTTCAGACACCTTGGCTCTAGCGAATTCTCATAATGGTACTTCCGTTACTGCTACGGGCTAGAACACGCACCAGCGCAGATTAATACAATGAAGAATAATGTTATTGACTTTAAATCGGATACATAGTTCACAAAATATGCACTACATAAATAAAATTATGTACAACTTCCGAGTCACTCTGACAGTCACTGACTACCGCGGTGAAACAGGTTTTGCTGAAACAGATGCCCTGTAATGTGAATCTTCCTCAAACCATTTACTGGAACATCGTCACAAGAATCCTTCTCGTATGTATGAGTGGAATTTCGCTCCACATCGAACCGCACACCTTTCTTTGAAAATGCTGACAGGGATTGGCCGATGCAAAGAGGCGAAATGGCGCCCATTCTCTCGTATCCCCCGCCTCCGGGTGCTGTCATCAACCGCTCTTCCATCTCCCCATTTGACCGTCGCAGTATCGACTTGCATGGTGTTTCCACTTTTTCTTCTTCTTCTTCTGAGGATGGTGGTGGTGTAGTGATGAACGACCCAAAACTCGATGTAGGCGAAGAGAAGCTATTTTCGAATGGTGGAAATAATGCTTCAGCATCCGATTCTGTAGCTTCACGACTCGCATAGGGCGGAAAGCAGGGAGTATCCAGTGTCGATCGAACCGATTTAACGTTTTTGAATACCTCTCCATCCTCCACAGGGGAGGGTAGAGGTGATACGTAAGGAAATTTTCGCCCAAAGCTTGTAGTCTGCACATGATTGGCTGCAGTTCCAACAGGCCTGGTGGAGCATTTTGGTGGTTCTTGATAAACGGAAACACTGCTACACCTGCAAGTCCGAACTCGAAAGTGAGTGACCGGAGGTTGAAGAGTCATCTGAGTACAGAGTAGACTGGCAGAGAGGCGGCTAAAACTTTGCTGTTGTTGCTGTCGCCTTCGGCGTCTGTGCGACTGAACGAGTGTTGGATTCTTGACACGAAATGAACGATATGGCAGAGTGCTTGGTAGTCTTGGAAAATCAAATTGCGTGGTCATCTGATGCTGGAGATGTGGCGTCTTCAAATGTCTTTCTCGCTATGGTGTGCCGACGCTGTAATGCTCCGCCTTAAGGCCTTCAAGCTGGCCAATTAAACGCCTCCCTTTCGATGTATGCACGCACGCACGCGCGCACGCCCGCATGCATGCATTCGTCTGCGTGTTTGGCGTTGCCTCAGCAACGTGTTTCAGTTTTTTTAATTTGCTATCATTTAGCCAATTGTTTCAATTCCACTTGAGTAAAAGTACGAATATTACTCCTCCTTCTAAGCCGGTATTACTTCGTACAGCAGTGATGAACAGGGAGAGCTGCAATTTTGTTATGCAGACGCCTTTACGATGGTTTCTTGAGATGGGCGTCAGAGATTTATCCACGTCTTAGGTTTCTTAATACTTCGAGTGTTGTTTTAACCCACCGTCTTGGTGACAGACTATGCAAGAGCTTTTAAGTTATATCTCCGAAGGGTGGAATAGGCTTTGGGAATATGTCAGCATTTCTCAATCTTTTCTGAAGGTTGGCAGCACACTTCGTATTGTAGACTTTTGATCGCTTTGTCTTCAATGAGATCTTGAGATCTTGATAAAATTGCACGTTACTTATTGCCAGCTAAACCTATTCCTAATTTCCTGCTCCAAATGCTAGTCCATTTATTTAAATTCAAATATATTCTAAAGAGAGTTTTTCCCCAAATTTTGCGGTACTAATCGACCTTCGTAGCTTCATCGACAAATGCCACTTTGCGTAACCATTTCCTGCCCCCTAAAAGCCCTTTTGACAAAGAGGTGAAAGGCGTCAACGCCAATTTTGAGAGACCTTTCCCCGTCATGTGGATCAACTGACGAATTGAAGGGAGTGGAAGTGAAGTGAGTTGCTAATTAGCATTTGATGGCTCACACAAACAACTTGTGAACAACTTATAATGCACTTCAGTCCTCCAAATCGCATTGAGTGGCTGAGGCGCCTTGAGTGACGGAGGTTGACGACGAGAAGGCCATCAAAAGTGCAGCCCTATGGACCACGCACTACCTAAACATCCATTTGTCTAAATCACATGTTTTTTTCTTCGTAATGAGCCGTTGACTCAGGACACACTCCTCACGTTTACCAATGAAGACCCCGGTAGCGTGCGTACATTCTCGCGATGAAGGTAAAAGAAACGGTAGTCTGAAAATTGAGA